AGCCGCACAACAGAGTTGGTGGCAGAGCTTGGGTTTGAGCACAGGAGTTCCTAGCTTGTGGGCCAGTGCTCAGTCCACTAGACAAACCCAATGGCCTCCCTGGGGGCCTGTGTGTACTCCAGTTAGCACCGAGCTGGGTACAGACTTTCTTAGTGTAGACAGGGTATTAACCAGATGGTGTGCTCCAGCCAAGGCTTTGGAAGCCAGGAGGGGGGAGAGAGCATGTGGAGAGGAAGGGGCCTGGGGTGACGCTGATGAAGTTGGCTGATTAGCCGTGATGTAGCCAAGAGCTGCAGGATGGGGACAGGGAGGGGGTCGTGGTGAGTGAATCACAGCCCTGTGCTGGCACTGGCCGGTCACAGGCAGGAAGCGCTGGGGTGGGGGGAGCAGGGAGAAGAGAGGAATCTGGGACAGGAAAGCGGCCTGCCATTTCCAGGGCTGGCAGGAAGAGCGTCAGATGAAAGGTCTGGACAGAGCAGGACGAGCCCCTGGCAGTGACGGGAGAGGAAGCCGTGAAAGGAGCAAGGGGTGAGGAAGCCGTGAAAGGAGCAAGGGGTGGGGGAGGCAGCTGTTCTCTCTCTGAGCCACACCTGGCCCCCAGGACAGACAGGGCCCGAAGCTCTGGCACTCAGGCAGGGGATTATCTGCAGCTTCCTCAGACATGGGCCAGGCCGCTTCACCCCATGTGTCCCACCCCCTGGCCCTGTCCTTTCTCAGGAAGATCATGGGGGCCTGTGACCCTGATGGTCCTGAGGGGTGGCCCCTCTGTGACCTAGTCACGCTCTTCTCCACACTGATGGCTCTCTCCCTTCCTGAGCGCGATCACAGCCTTGCTATCGCTCCTTGCCCCTCAAAGGTGGCTGCAGAGAGAAGTGAGCTGAATTCCCCAGGGCGACACATTCGGTCAGCGGCAGAGCTAGGGACACAACCCAGATCGCCCAGGCTTGTGCTGTAACCACTAGGCAAAGCTTCCCCCTCAACACAGCAACCCTCCCTCCCTGGCATAACAGGACCCTGTTAGCTCCCCTGCATCCAACCCTAGTTCATTTTTGGTCTGAATCCCACTGGGAGCTGCAGTCCTTCCTTGTAGAGAAAATGGAATGGAGTCTCTTTTGAAACATAGATGTTTAAATGCACATTCCCCGTGCTTCTCTTCCCATCCCGAAACTGTCGTATATTGTTGCTACGGGGCCGCTAAAGAGCTGCCACATTCCACCCCAGAAGTAGCTGCATATCAGTGGGCAGGTGAAGAGATTCCTGCGCATAGCCATATACAGACATGTGCATCTCTGCCAAGGCTCTCAACCTGTCAGGGTCTAAGTTGGTGGCACAGGCCCACAGTGAAGCTGCTGTAGAGGGGGAAGTGGTGATGAGCGGGTGGTGTGGGATTCATTTATTTTCACACAATTCAGAGGAACAGCCGTGTTAGTCTGTATTCGCAAAAAGAAAAGGAGTACTTGTGGCACCTTAGAGACTAACCAATTTATTTGAGCATGAGCTTTCGTGAGCTACAGCTCACTTCATCAGATGTTTTGATCTGATGAAGTGAGCTGTAGCTCACGAAAGCTCATGCTCAAATAAATTGGTTAGTCTCTAAGGTGCCACAAGTACTCCTTTTCTTTTCACACAATGTTTTCCTTGTCTGTAAGGTTAAATCTGGGGGTGATAAAGCAGCAGATAGGGGCCGGGAGTTCCGATTGTTTGGATCTGGGACTTGGGTTTGGGCCATTAGCCGCAGTCTTTGGCCCTGGAATCAAACATTGCCAGAGCTGAAGGGTGTCTGGATCCACGACCCCACCCTCAAACAGGAGTGAGTGGATGGATGCTGTTGTGATAGCCGGGAATCTGGGTGGAGGGGTGAGCCCAGAGCACAGCACCTGCTGTCTCCCCCTCCCAACCCCCCGGCCAGCCGTGGCTTGCAGCAGGTGCCGTTGCTGTGCCGAAATGATCACATGCGGTAGCAATGGCATAAGTGTAAAATAACAACACGGAAACGTTGGGGAGGGGCGGGGGGCAGAGGCCGAACATAATGGGAATATTCATAGCTGTGACTGCGAGAATGCAGCCCCTGATGGCTACTGACACATGGAGCCAGGGACTGCCCCTGCAAGATACCAAAGGGATTTCCCAGGCTGCTTCAGCTTCCTGTGGGAGAGGGCAAGGGGAAGGCAGAGGTGACTGCACGTCAGCTGCAAGGGACTGCGAGTTTCACTCTGCAAACGCTCGGTGGTGCCCCAGGTATGTCTGGGGGACCGGTTCCTCCTGTGGATGCCAATACACTGGGTGGCTCCAGGATCATTCACAAGCCTGTGAACAGCTCATGCGCCTGAGTCTGCGTGTGCGTATGTCGTGCAGGCATGAGTGTGCATGTACCCTGTGCACGGGCACATATATTGGTGAGTGCACGCGTGAGCTTGTATGTGTACATGTGCATTTGTGCAAGTTTGCACGTGCGCGTGGATTCCAGCACTGGGACACTGCTCGGCTCCAATCTCCATTAGCCTCCGAGACGGAGAGGGGAATTTTGGGGTCCCAGTTTAGCTGCTGTTGCCCCTCAGGGTATAACTGGCCAACGTGAGAATCAGCTGGGAACCCGGCTGGATGAGCCTCCTCTTTCACTGCAGCGAGGATCAGGTGCGAGGATCTCATGTGCCTCGTGACGGTCGGACTTGGAGGGATGTCATAGGTTCTGTGTGTAACACATGGTGGCAAGGCTTGAGAAGCCTACTCAGCCGCTTGCCGGTGCAAGTAGAAATGCTTCCTGGCAAGTGGGCTGGGTAGGCCAGGGAGCTATTGTCTTTTTCCTCCCTCCCCTCTATGGCTGGGAACTGACAGAGAAGCAACCAAGATGTTAGGATGAAGAGGGATCGGGATGGAGGATAATATGGAAAGTATTATAATGCTATTATGTACATCAATGCTCTCTTCTATCTAGACAAATCTCTGTGTGCGTTTGTGTACAGTTCTGGTCACTCATGTCAGATAGGGTATTATTTGAGGGGGTTCAGAGAAGGGTGATGAGAATGATCAAAGTCCTGGAAAATCTCTCCTATGAAGAGAGATTGAAAAGACTAAGATTGTTTACCTTAGAAAGGAGATGAAGGAAAGGGGCCAGAGTAAACGTATATAAAATAATGAATCCTCTAGAGAAGGAAGCTTCTTCTCCCTGTCTCACAACACAAGAACAAGGAGACACTGAATGGAATTGAAAAGTAGCAAAATTCAAAACTCATAAAAGGAAATACTCCCCCCCTCCACTCATTATGGAATTAGACTGTGGAACTCACTGCCACAGGATGTCACTGAGGCCAAGAATTTGGCAAGATTCAAAGAGTGAGGGAATGGATGTTCAACAGGATAATAAGAACACCCAGAGTTATAACAGTTAAGGCAAACAAAGAGTTTTGGAAGGGATAAAAAAATTTAATTCTTCAGTGCTTAAACTGATCTGTAACTGTTAGGGGTCATCGTGAGGCTTTCATGGTTACAGATTATTCCATATCTGCTACTGTGAGATTCTTGCACCTTCCTCTGAAGAATTTGGCATGAGCCACTGTTGGAGACAGGACATTGGACTAGATGGACTTTGGGTCTGATCCAGTCTGGCAATGCCCATGTTCCTATGAAGGAAGGTGCACGTGAGAATGACAGCTCTGTGCGCTAAAGGTGTTCTTACTCAAGATGTGATGCGCTGTCACCGTTCCATGTCGTTTACCGCTTGCTGTTCACCAGTTTAAGGGGTTCTTTGCCTGGGTCGTACCTAGATCTTGTAGAGCTGGCTCTGTTGCTCCCGGTTTCAGATGGCCCATTAACAAAGACCACTGGGCACCAGTAATTGTTCTGGACATTGTGAGAGCTGCTTCCAAGACCACATGTGCAGCTCTGTCTGCTGAAGGATAAGTGCAGCCCACAGAGCTCTGGCAGCCACTTTTGTGGTGCATTCAGAAGCCCAGCCCAATGAGATTACAAGTCCCAGCATGCAATGCTCCAATTTGAAAGAACTGTACCGCACGCTGGAAATTGTAGTCTTGACAGGCCGCAGCAGGAGGGCAGCTGCAATCTGCTCAGCTTTGGGGCAGCCCCTGCCTTGGCTCTTTGTAAATTAAATCTAGCAGGTCTTTTCCAGAAGAGCCGGGGTCTGCTGGGATCCCTAGCTGTTGCTGCCACGTGCCATAGGCCAATCTGGCACATGCACGCCAGCGAGCATGGAAGAGCAGCACGCGTGTTCATCATCATGTGCTTTCCCTTCATTGGCTCACTTCCTCCTCTGGGTGCAAGGCTCAGAGGTCCATTGGCCTCTGAAATGTCAGGTTATAAAACCAGCTGGAAGAACCTCCCCGGGCATGCAGAAATCGTGGGAGGCGGAGTTTCCTGTTGTGGAGGTTTCGGTTGTGTCCCTCACCTCAGTCACGTTGGAAAGGCCTGACATGCCACTTGGGCAACGAGGGTGAGGGATTGTGCTGATCTGGACAGGGACTCTGCTTGAGAGACTGAAACCAGGGCACTGGGGGAGGAACTCTGTCCCTGGGCCAGGCCTGAAATCCTTACTCAGGCAAAACATCTTCCAAAGCACCCAGGCTCCTCTAGCTAGGCATGGACTGATTAGGACATCCAGGTCCCCAGTAGGGAAAGGGGACAGTGAAGAAGGCTTTATATGGTAAGCTCTTTGGAGCAGCGATGGTCATTCGTTATGTTTGTACAGCAGCTTGCACAATGGAGCCCCGACTGGGTTGAGACCCCTGGGCGCTCCTGTAACATAACTGTCCAATAATAATAGGAAGAAGGTGGGTCCCCAGCTCCCATAGGTGCTCAGATACCTTGATGATGAACGAGTCGTGCGGTCTCCCAGTACTCGTGGTGGATTCAGAGGGTGCGGTCTGGGTCTGGTGACAAGACTGTTATTTACCTCTGACCTCGCAGAGTGTTTAGCCCCAGGGTTTCCCTGACTCCAGCTGTCCCCCGAGGAGCAGCAGATAGCACACGGGAACTGATCCACTTACCTGGGTTGGTGACCCCCTCAGGGGTGACAGGTCACAGGCTCGTGAGTCGGCGAACTCTCTTGCCCAGGTAGTAATGGTTGAGATTTTGCCAGCGATATTTCCATCTGCAGAAGGGAAAGAAAGATGGAGTGGGGGGATGCGATGGGAGATAGGTAATAGACTGAGAGGCGGGTCACAGGTCAAAGAGATTGGGCAGGACAAGCTGGAGTTTTGAGCATATCCTTGATCAGCCCCACAGGAACCCACACGTGCAGACTTCTTTCACACAGGAGAATGGGAGGAGAGTTCTCTTGTCAGTAACACCCATTAAAGGGTTAATCTGTTGTTGCTAGATAACAGTGTCCCACCATCAAGCCCCGCTTCTCCTGTTCCACTGGGGAATGTGTTGTCCCTCAGGCTATGTCTACACTACAGATTTCTGCTGGCATAGCCCTGCTGCGGTGCGAGGAGTTGTGACTCCGGCCTGACATAGCTGTGCTGGCAGAAGCTCCTAGTGTAGACGCAATTATAACAGCAAAAACCAGCCTCGCTTGTTTGGCTCAGGGTGATAGGCAATAACAAACATACCCGGGTGTCGTCGTTGTTTACACAGGGACAGTGATGAGTCTACACTGTAGTATAAATACCCATGATACGCACTCATCTGAGCAGGTTTCAGAGGGGCAGCCGTGTTAGTTTGTATCAGGAAAAACAGTGAGGAGTCCTTGTGGCACTTTAGAGACTAACAAATTTATCTGGGCGTAAGCCTTCGTGGGCTACAACCCACTTCATCAGATGCAGTCTTAGTGGTTTCTGGACATGCAGGGCCCATTTTGTTTCAATTTGTGTGCACAAAGCTTGGAAGAGAGAAGTGCTGACTCAAAGACTGTAGCCAAATCAGCTGACCCACTCCACCAGTTTACAAGGGGTTTGTCCTTATACCCAATTCCCATTGTAACCGTCCCAGGATTCAAAGGAGCATTGGCCTTGAGACCTCATCATTCATGCGCTGAGCTGCCCTTCTCAGCTCCTCCGCAGCAGCGAGTAGTGTGCTCCTGGGTTGGTGAAGCCTGTTTTGAATGCCCAGCAGCAACTGGGGCCCAAATCTGGGCTCTATACCGAGCAGCTGGCTATGTGATGAGGTAAAAACACATTTTGAAGGCTGCAAATCTGAAAGGACCAGTGAGATGGCAGCAGTGCGGGGCTGGGGACAGGCAGTGGGGGAAAAAAGCATTAAACTGGCCTGCTTGGAAACAAAGACACGGTGATTATACAGATGTTATTTCCTTAGTGTCCTAGGGCAGCACCAAAGCCGGAGCATTGTGTGGTTTATTTTCTACAGATCACTGGGGGTTATTTACACAGAAGTTAATTTTCAAGTAATTTAACTATTTAATTGAAGATTAAGTAACAACTGTGTCCTGGGAAGATGACATCTGCTTGAGGCCGGGGATTTGAGGCATGTGGGTGAGTGGGTTACACAAGCCTAGGAAAGTTTGAAACGTATTCACTTGCCTCTTGCAGGAACCCACAACCTTCCTGATGCCTTTTCGGTTGGCGTCAGCTCCCGCTTCCTTGGCAGCCCAAACCTGGATGCTCCAGCCCCCTCGTTTGTTGCCCCACTGACCTGCTGTCCTCTTGGTTTGGGAATTCCCTTGGCAACAGCTGAAGGCTGAAATTCTCTCAGGGAGGAGGGTGAGTTTTGGCGTTGCAAGCAGCTAATGCCTTAGATTTCATAACAGGAACAGGGATGCAGGCTGTTAAATATTTATAGGAGCTGTAAGGTGCCAGCTTGGTAAAGTTCCTTCTCTATTTACTCTTCCATTTTTATTCCCTTTCTTCCCCTCAAGTCCCATCTGGTCTCCTTGGGCCATGCCTTGCGCTGTAATTCTATAAATCACCATCTGCTCTTATAGGGGGAGTGTTTTCTTTTTCACTTGCTTGTGTCTGTGGCCTCTGAAATGACTGCATGCCCCATTCCCAGCCGGGAATCTCATCTCTGGGGATTTCCAAACCAGCCTTTGGACCCGCACTGTAACTAGTGTGTAGTCTTGGCTCGGAACTGCCCCCAGAAGAGTCCACATTGCTGCAGTAGCCCCGGCTGGGTCACAGGAGAGACCCACGTCCGGGGCTGTGGGAAGCCGACTTGTGGATACGGAGGTAAAATGCTGTGTTCCCTTCAGGTTAAGTTGAGGCAGATCAGAGAACGGTTGAGAAAACATCTGCACTTTGAAACAGAAGCCCTGGAGCCCTGAGCAGTGCAGGAGGAGTTAATACACTAAATTTTCACTCCTGGAGACCTAATCTTATGTTCATCTTACAAGTGCAATGAGTTCAGCGGTCTCGGCTGATTAGGAAAACACATCCAGAAGAAGTGGGTGGATTGGCAATCTCTCCTGGGAAGAGGCACAGGCTGAAATAGCAGGAGCCATAGGGTTAGGTGCTAGGAAAAGTCAGAGGAGCTGGAGGGGCACGGGCGGGGGTTACCGCAGGTCAGGCTGGAGAGAGAACTTTAGAATTACTTCTCTCTCCAATAAAATAACCACAACCCTAAATCCCAGCCCGGATGCCACCAGTTAGCACTCGAGGGGCAGGGGATTATTCAAAGATTTGGCCACGGGAGGGTACTGTGCCCTTACACAGCTTGGCACTGATTCCTTGCTCTGCAGTCATGTCCATGGGGTTTGTGACAGCCTCCATACTTGGGCATGGCCTCCTTACCCCTGGGAGCCTAAAGAGAGACCTGGCACCACCACCCCTGTACCATGCCAGGGTGAGCCAGCAAGCGCCTTCCCCCCACCCCTCCGTGCCACATGCTTTTTGGTGATCTCGCCCCTGCCAGCCCTGGCGGTTCCTCGCGCCTTGACGAACGCAGAGACAGATGGTGAGAGAGCAGCACAGGCTCAGCTGGGGCCAGAACGCATGAAAATGGCAGAGAAAGGGCCAGGGCTCCTGCTACAGAGAGAAACATAAAGGGCCAGCAGGATGGGTGGGAATCCCCTATGAGGGTGGAATGAAAGGGGACAGGAGAGAAAAGGGGAAGTGGCAGAAGGGAGAAAAAAAGATGAAGAGGAGCCAGAAAAGAATTAAGCAGGGGAGAGAAGAGGGAAGAAGAAAGCCATGGAAGGGATAGAGACTGAAATGCAAAGCGTTTAGTTTTTCCCTTCCTTTCGGTCTCTCCTGCTCCCTCTCCCCCCCCCCGCCCATGTGTCCCTCAGCCCCACACCTGTCTGATTGCTTTATTATTAGCTTTTCTTCTCGCTGATTGTCTAATTTGGTGTGTGGTTTCGAAACAAAAGACCCGTCTCTCTGAATCTGCTATTAAATCCTACTGTTTAGCCCTGTTTCTCCCAGAGCCAAGGGGTGGTTGGGTCTGTCCCAAGAGTTGTTATCTCCAGGAGCAAAGGCACTTGAAACAAATTATTCTGAATTTATTCTAATTAGTTTTCCCCCCTCCCCTGCCCCGCCTGCCCCCACAAAATGAATTTGTTTGGGTGACAAAATGAGTGTGTGTGTGTAATTAGTAATAAGGATCTACGTACACTGGCTCTGTTTTGGCAGCTACGCATGGGGCTGCTGCTGCTTAAGGATTATGATGGCGACTCAAGACCGGACTTTACAGGCCAAATCCTGCCCCACGTTACACCCCGCCCTTCCTTAGATTGTCTGGGTTTAACTGAGGATGGAATTTGGCCCTCCACTTCGCAACCATCTGCCATATGTGTCTGTGGGTTTGCAGGCCACTGCTGTCATCTAGATGGAATCAGGACAGCTCAGCTGTGTGTCATAAGTCCTATATTGCTAACAGTTCATGGAAACACTTCGGTAGCTCTCCAGGGAGAGCCTGGTGCTTTTGGAATATGGCAATATGATGTTCCATGGAGTTGTTACTATATGTCCAGTGAGCTGTAGCTCACGAAAGCTTATGCTCAAATAAATTGGTTAGTCTCTAAGGTGCCACAAGTACTCCTTTTCTTTTTGCGAATACAGACTAACACGGCTGTTACTCTGAAACCTGATATATGTCCATGGGCTGATCCTTTCCGTACGAAGCAAACGACTGATCTTCCCTTGGAAAATGTCGGTGTGCAACCCCCACGGCCAAAGCCTGCACTTCGACTGTACCCTTTCTCTCTCCTCACCCAGGTCTAGAGACGCAAAGCTTGGATCCTGCTGTCCCCAGAGCTGGGGAGGGTGTTGCATATGGAGGTTTGACTGAGGCCCTTTTCTGCCCAGGATATGAAGCTCTCAATTAAACTGCGGTACTGTGAACTTTCAGCGTCAAAAGATCAAAGAAAGAGTCACTGTTGTCCTGAAAAAAAGACCTTTGGTGCTCTAGCTTCCCACATTAATCTCAACGGGCAAAGCTGGAACTGGGGCAGAAAGCTTAGAAGTAAGACGCATTAGTCAGCAAGAGATGCAGGCTCAGAGGGAGAGGGGGAGCTGAACAGCCCTACAGTAGTAAATTCTGCTGCATTCCCTGCCTGGTTCCCTGAGCCAGGGGACTGGGGAAGGCCTTGCAAACTCTGGCTAAATGAGTCACTCTTGGACAAAGGTAATATATTATCGCTAGAATAACAATAATGCTCTGCACCTTTCATCTGAAGCTCTTATCGTGCTTTACAAAGAAGTACAATCATCCTCGTTTTAGAGATGGGGAAACTGAGGCACCAAGGGGCGAAGTTACTTACAGCCACACAGTGAGCCTGCAAAAGTGTTATGATTAGAATCCAGTTCTCTGGGCAACCAGTCCCATCACTGGAACATGCTGCTGCTTTGTTTTTGATAACACATTTTTTAAAAGCAAAGCAGAAAAGGCAAAGAACCAAGGTGCGTTTCTTGTTTTCCCTATCTAGAAACCGTAGGACACAAGAGGGAAAGTGGAGAGAGTCCACAGGGGAAAGGAAAAACAAAAGTGTGAGAGACAGACTGAGAGATGATTTATATTTAGACTGTGAGTACCTCGGTGCAGGGACTGTCTCTCTGTTCTGTGTCTGTACAGCATCTGTACAGGCCCTGCTCCACGACGGGGGTTCCTATGTGCTACCTCAGCACAAATAATAACAAAATGATTTTTTGGAGAGCGAGAAAAAGAAGGATCCAGAGAAATGTTCCTATAACCTGCTCCACAGTCCAAAAAGGAGCAACTGCACAGGTCCAATCAGAGACCACATAACGAAACAAGATCAAAATTGTCCAATTTTCCCCAGCTTCCCGACTCTGAGAACCTGTGGTTTTGGTCCACGTTCTTCAGCGTTACCTGCTGAAACCAGATCCTTTCCCTCCATGTTGCATTAGGTACCTTTTGGCTGCTTTGATGATGCTATTGCTATTTCTGGCTGATTCGGGTGTGTTGCTCGGCGTGCAGAGATCTACCCACTGCACGCACGAACACACACTCTCTTTAAATCTGATCCTTCCCAGGAGCTCCCTGAATTCCTAGGCTTGGATCAGCTGTCAGATGTGGCCCTGTTTTTTATTTTTGGACCTGCCCAGACTTATCCCTGGCACTCGGCCTGCTGGTGCTCACGGCACCAGTGGAATCAGAAGTTGGGAAGGGATGTGAATTGAACTACAGGAGCACCAAGGAAGAACCTGCTCCTGACTCCAGGCAGCCAGTTTGCACCAGTTCTCAGCCAACTTCACTTCCCTCTGCAGGGTATCAAGAGGCAAGCTGGCCCAGCCAATGAAATGCAAGCAAAAAGCATGACCTCATCGGAGCAAACATCCATTGGCCGAGCATACTTGGAGGCCAGGACACTGTTACTCAGCCGCTACAGAGAGCTAATTAACCCTTGCCTTGGCATCTCAGACACTGTGTTGTGAATGGCAAATCTCCCTTCCTCTCCTGGTTTTTTTTTGGCCAATCAGAGCCATTGCACCTTCCTAGGGGGTCTTTAAGAAAGAGAAGGAGGGAGACGGTGAGGGTGAGAGGATGATGGGGTGACAGGCCCAGCCAGCCAAGGAAACCCCAGTCCCACCTTCTGGCTCCCATCCGATCCCCCTTGACACCATGCAGAACCTACCTCGGCGTGAGACCTAGGGAGGGTAAATAAACCCTGCATTTGCCACGTCAGGGATTTCGCTTTATTAACAGTATGAACAAGGGAGAGTCAAAGCTGCCAGTGTCCAGCTAAAGGCCAGTGACTAGCTCCAGCAGGGATAATCCTGGCTCATTATGGGGCCTGGTCTGGTTTGGGAAGGCCCTTTGGGTTCACCCATTTGCTGACCCTCTCCCATGCCCTGCCTTTACATGAGTCAGTGGCCCAGGATCCTGTTCAGAGGCCAGAGCGATTTCATTCCAGCTGCCACCTCTCGTGTCCCATGGCCTCCTGCACTTGGCACCAGACTCTGCTGGGCTGACTCTTGTGGCTAGGGGGGACAGGACCCCAGCAGGCCACCCCCAAGGCTAGCTACCAGGGCAAAGTGAGTGAGCCAGGTCCCGAATCGGAGAGCATTGCCCCCATGATAGCACTTAGCTTGTCCACAGCAGCGGCCATCTGCAGAATCCAAAGTGCTTTTCAAACACAGATGAGTTCATCCCTGCTCCTGGGAGGAAGGTGGGACTTGTTCCCACTCCTCAGCTGGGGAAACCGAGGCCCACAGCAGGACACGATCCAGGGCAGAGCCAAACAGATCCCAAGAGTCCTGACTCTTGATCCCCTGTTTTAACCACTAGCCCCATTGCCTCCAAGTCTGGTTCCATCCACTCTGTCCCAAGAGAGTGTCTCTTGGGTGACAGCCTCCTAGTGGACCGACACTCAGATCAGCTGCCAACTGCAGCCCCCAGGATCAGAGTAGCTGTGGGTTAAGTGCTGGGATTGTGTTCCACCTCACTCTGTCCCTGCGAGCTCCCACACCGCTGCGCCCCCTCTTCACCTTGCAAAGGTCCCCAGCCCCACGTTCTGCTGGGGTCTGTACTTACACCAGGTTGTGTTTCAATCCGCAGCAGCTTGGCCAGTGGACAGACTCTACTTCGGAAAGGCCTGTGTTCCCAGGGAGGATAAGCAGCCACCGCCTGGGGGTGGCCCATGTGCTGCCAGATGCATAGCGCCTCTGTGGGCTGACCCAGTAATCTTGCAGGCCCTGGTGACTGGAGTAAGCAGGGCGCAGAGCAATATTCTTCCTCCCCCCATAAACTGGCATCTCCACTTCATTTCTGCGGGGCAGCAGGGCCCTCGGCTTGCTGCATCAAGAGAGAGAAGCCCATGAGGTTTATATAGGGAAGTCTCTGCAGTAGAGTCGCATGTTGGTTTGCGGACATGCTGCTCTTGTGCTCTCACTCCCCATGGGTGTCGTGCTGTCAATTTCCCTGCCAAACGGCAGTCCCACCCTGGGACAGAAGTTTCAGGGAGCAGAAGGTGGATTTGAGCAATATTTGCCCTTGATCGCAGATCGGGTCAGAGCCCCCTAGCATCTTGCATTTCCTTAGTGCCTTTCATCCAAAGGATCCCAAAGCACTCTGCAAACTAGAGAGAGGGGTCACTTCATCAAGCAGTGAAATGTAGCCACTTCTGGGCTGGAACAGGCATCTAATGTGCACAGCAGTCCAGGTCTGGAAATGATATCTGTGCCTCGTTGTGCGGGGGGAGTTTGGGGAGGCAGAACATAACCACCCAAGACAGAATCTGGTTGGGACATCATCTTCAGGGAACTCAGCTGTCTCCAATTGATTCAGCAAGAATTATTCCTTTCCTGCTGTAAAACATTTCTAAGCTATCAAGGGCACCGGGGGGGGGGGGGAGGGGGGGGGTAGTGATCACAAATGTCCTGACAAACCCTCCTACTGAGAGAGATGGATTGCGCTTCGAGTCTGCGGATGCTGTGAGAGAAACCGAATCTGACAGGAGAACAAAACCTTGGCAGGGTCTCTGATCCAAGTTCTCTGAGGGAGGGAGGTGAAGAGTGCTCACTGATGAGTCAAACTGCATCACCGAAAGCAAATTCCAGGGTGGGGAGAGGCTGAGTTACAGGAGTCACAAGCCCCTTGCATGCGCCCATGTCAGGCAAAAGCAGTCCTCTCTTGGGGGGCCATCTGGCTCACTGAGGATTGCCCAATCTTTACAGTGCGGTGGGCCAGATGCTAGTTTGGGGGCACCTCCATGGGCTACATGCCCAAAGCCATGCTTTGCAAAATGGCGTCCGTGCGGTGCGCCTGCGGTCCCGCTATGCGTAGGATGCCATTTGGCAGAGCAGGTCTCAGACGTGTGCAGAATTTCACGGCAATGCTCGACACCCGCCATACGTTTGGGGCAGCTGTTGCTGTGGGGGAGGAAGGAGGGTCCATTTGGACCACGCCTGAAATTCTAGCCTCTGTCTAAGTACCGTGGTCCCTTGTGGCTGTGAAAGCAAGGCGAGCGCACGTACCGAGAGAGGAGATAATTCGCCACAAACAGAGCCGTCTCAGGAAACATCCTCCCGTCCTCTCTTGTGTCCAGCCAGCAGCTCTCTGGGAATGAGCAGCCTGTTTGCGCCTCTGACTGACCCACGCCACTGACCGATCTTTATATATAGTGAATGAGTGAGGAGTGACTGCAGCCTCCTGCCAGGGCTCCTGGTCTCTGAAAAGTTATACTCCCTCAGGCCTGCCCCAGGGCCAGGAGACGCATTCAGAGAGGCCTAAATAAAGCCAAATAAGAATAACCCTCCAGCCGGGTCAGTAACGCACGCTGGGGTGGGGAGTGTGCGCAGACCACTCCCCCTACTGGCCAGGGTACCTTGGGAGGTTGTGTAGGTTAATAGACAGCAGGTTTCAAACACACCTAAGGAAGTACTTTATCACGCAACGCACGGTCAACCTGTGGAACTCATCGCCAGGGGATGGTGTGAAGGCCAAAAGTATAAGCAGGTTCAAAACAGAACTAGATAAGCTCATGGAGGGTAGGTCTGTCAATGGCTATTAGCCAAGATGGTTGGGGTATCCCTAAACCCACTGGATGATGGGATGGGTCACTCAAAATTGCCCTGTTCTGTTAATTCCCTCTGAAGCCTCTGTCAGAGACAGGATATTGGGCTGGAGGGACCATTGGTCAGACCCAGTGTGGTCGTTCTTTATATTCTGATACTGGACACTGGCCCAGTCAGAACCTCGGCAGCAGCTGGCAGTCCTGCCTTTGCCAGGCCCATGCAGACACTTTAGTGCCCTTGCAAAAGCTGGGAGTGCTATAGCCCCGCTAGATACCACGGTGATGGGCCCATTAGAATGGATTGATAGCCTGGCTAAATCCAGACATTGGCACCAGCACTCCCTGCTCATATATATCCAGAAGGCAACTCTGAGGGAGGCCAGAGCACCTCCGAGCCAGACGCTCCCAGGTTCTAATACGAGCCTGATGCTGTGGCTTTGGGCAAGTCTTTTTAGGCCAACACTGTCCAAAGTGGCTGCTGATTTTGGGTGCCCAGCTTAAGACACCACCCAGGGCCTGGTTTGCCGAAGTAGAGAGCACCCACAGCTTCCTGTGAAATGGATGGGAGGTGCAAGTGCTCAGCACCTCTGGAAATTTAATGCGGTCCAAAGGGCCTCCTGTTGGGCACCCAAAATCAGTGGCTGCTTTAGAGGTTGCTCTAAACCTCTCTGTGATTCAGCTTCCCCCACTGTATTAGGGAGATGATTCTCCCAAGCTCCCTCCCAGCAGGGTCGATTGGCTAGTTTGCTGAGTATTAGAATTGGGCCAGAGTCATAAAGTTTGGATCCCAGCTCCCCCAAGGCTGGGGACTGCTGAGATCCTGGGCTTGGGCCAGGCCCATCTCACTATGCCTTCCCATCACATCCACTGCTCTGCTGCCAGCAATAAGGGGAAGGGTCCCAGCTACCCCCATCTGGGCAGCATTCAGGCCACGGGAGGAGATTTCCACTGTGGTCTTTGGTCTTTGACTCCGGCAAAGAGGAGGACGGTGTGACGCCTTCGTTCCCACTGCTGAGCTGGAGGCTGGGCACTGATCAGTGAGCCAGGGGCAGCAGTTTCATTTCATAGTGAAAGAGATGGAAAAGGGGAAACATCTTTCGTATCTTTGCTCTGGGGAAATTGATGACACAAGGGGTTTTCTAGTTTCTTTCCCAGACGCTGCAGGCGCAGATGCCCCTGAGGAAGCTGTGCCAGAAACAGGGGTGTCACCCCATCTCGCCCTGCAGTGCCCCAGGGATAAATCCTGCCGTCTTCACTTGGGCAAAGCGCCCACTGACTACAGTGGCAGCCAGAATAACTCACAAGCAGGGCAGGTTTATCTACCCCTCCCCGCCCTCCATCTCTGGCGTGATACTTGCCATCGGGGCAGCTTGGCCTGCGTCAGCTTCGTCCCAACAGCTGCCTTGTCCCAGACCCCCAGCTTTCCTGGTGCTGCGTTGGGATGTGAGACTCATAACCTCATTAGGCACAGGTGCAGGATTATCCTTAATTGCCTGCGCTTTGGTGTCCATAACCTCCTCCCAGAAGGCTATTCTGTTACCTGTAGCTAACCTGTGCGTGTCTGGCATCTGGTCTCTAATCTCCAGGATTAGAGAGATTTTGGGCCCCGACAGATGGAGCACAGCCAGGGATTCTGCCGCGTTCAGTTCACACCCAGGAACCAGCGCCCTCTGGCCAGTCCACACCCTTTAATCACCACCTTCCCGGGCTTCACCTCTCTGCAGCAGCTGGGAGGTAGCTTTGTGCTCTGGTCAAAGTCTCTCCCTGCCAACCATGGCTCTGGTTTCTGAGTGTTCCTGCACAGTCCTGGCCCACCTCCGAGTCCTCAGGTTTTCTCTCCTCCCTTAGTCGCTGAGCCAGGCAGAATCTCTCGATAGATACCTTTTGCTGTTAGCACCCTTCTGGCAGTGAGCTTCCTCCCAGCAGTGCCCTACCAGTGCTAGCGATGTGTGTGTGTGAGTCAGAGGGGAATTTGGAAATCATGAACCAAGGAGCAGATGAGAGCAGAGGGAGTTATTATAGGAGCGAAATGTCCCCCTCTCTCCGTGCCACACTCTTTTCGTCTGCCTATTCCCCCCTAGACTGGTCCGTCCATGCAATGCCTGGTGCTACCCAAACTTGCCTAATCCAGAGGGGGCGAGATGAGTGCGAAGGGGAAATCCTCCCTCTGGGATCTCCCAAGCTGGAGAGGACCCAGATCCTTTCCAGCAGCACAGCAGGGCATGTGGGGAAAGCCCCTGGACTGCAGAAAGGAAGCTATTAAGGGAAATGGAAGCAACATTTCCCAACACAGGAGAAAGGGAAGGAGTCACTGCGTCTTCTGGGAATCCCGCGAGCTGCTCCTCTCCCAGCCCCCTGCACAGTCCTAAAGTGCTGCTCCGGGAAGATGGCGCTTCCACCCCTGCCCCCAGCTCTGTCCACAAGGCAGCCATTTCCACGCTGCGGGGGGTTCGGGCCATTGGGTGAGGATCAGCCACACACGGCAGTGGCTCAGGAATCAGATATTTTGGGGGGGGTGAGGAGGAGAAGCCTAAAGTAACCTTGAGGATCTAGTTGTAACATCTGGTGCCCACTGGCGAAGATAGGCAGCCTTCCCCCTGCTGTGATAGGAGGTCCCCTATGTGGTGCCTATCGTCCTGGGACCCCACTATCCAATAAGGAGCTACTACAAATTGTCTGCTTGGGTGTTTCTAGCAGTAACTGTGCAGGGGATTGGATGTGGCAATACCAACAGGGACTCTGGGGTTTAATGTTTGTTATTTTGTACCGTGCTGTCCCATAGGCTTCGTCTGGCATCTTTCATCTTTGTCCTTTTTATGATCTTGAAATGTAGGCGGTCACCTGTTACAACCTGGCCCCGGAAGGCGGTGCTGGGCTCTCCTCTCGCTACGAGAGGCACCAAGGGACATGGAGGAAGAGTAGCTGGGTAGGGAGTTATCCTGTGAAAACCCCTCTCCAGATAACCCCGCTCTGATCTGCGGATGGTGGCACGTCGGTGCCCTGAGGGCGGGAGTTTGCTCTTCACGCTCACCCAGACATCACTCAGGCAGGAGTGTGCAACCAGTCTTGACTTCACGGAGCTCCTCAGCTTCCCATGGTTCTGCTGTCATTGGGCCAGCCCCGCCTGTGGAAGCGTTGTTATAGGCTGGCCACCGGCATTCTCCCCACCACGTCGCTTAGGCAGGGCCCAGGAGAGGTCTGAGAAGGAGGTCACTTTCCCAGCCCCCCGGTGGGCTGCTCCTGTCAGCCGTGCATGTAGACACAGGCAGCTGAGCCAGAGGGGAAATGCGATCTCGGGGGTTCCTCTGCACAGACCGATGGCGACCAGCAGGGATCGTTCTCATGTCCATTGGCACTTCCCAGTTGTGTTAGTGGTCCGGTGCTTGGTGTGGATGGTGTAGGATGCGTTACTCAAAGCCATAAGAGTACACCGTTTCCCTTCCCCCCCCCCACTCCAGCAGCCTCCACACCCCAGGGACTGCAGTGCCTCCCTCAGAACCCCAGAAAAAGGCCGAGGCGTCAGAGAGAGGGAATGTCAGAGGAGCGAGCGGTGCCATCAGACTCCAGGACCTGTGCTGGAGCAGCTGGCCGGCTCCGTTTCACCC